CCGGACTGCCAGCTTTGCTGATGGAACATCCTCTTCGAATTCAGGTGTTATGCTCTCAAGTACATGCTGGGATGTGGCGTCGTAATGGTCACTCCATTGTAGGCCTCTGCGACATCTATCGTGCCGTGCCATGGTCAGTGGAATGGTTAGTGCGACTTGCTAGACATCCATTTGCAATTGACTTTATATCTAGCAGGTGTGAAGACAGTTTAGAGCTCGACCTGTTCATGCTGCAATGCTGCGCGTCCATGGCGCCTGCGGAAGAGTTTGCGGGACGAGTTTTCACTTGTTTCGGCCTTGCAGAGTACTTCTCACTGTACTTGTGGAAGCCGAATGAGTAAGATTTTAACTCTGCATATATTTTTTTTCACCCGACATTTTTTTTCTTTTTGTTGAAACAGATACGAGCCAGTCCTGGCACAAGAGATGTTAGTTCTGCTCATTCGTATTATTTCAGAACGTGGCTTCTGTGGTCTTTCGCCGAAAGAATCGTTACGTAGGGAACTTATTCAACGCCTGGCAATAGGGGATGCCTCGCACAGCTCCCTGACGAATGCATTGCCTCCGCGGCTTCGAGATAATGAGCATATGCAAGAAACGTTGGAAGCAGTGGCCAACTATAAAAGACCTCATGGCATGCAACAGGTATGAAAGGATTTTTTGTCTCTACGTACTGTAACATTTGTTGGGGCGTTTCCTGCAGGGTAAATATGTCTTACGCGAACAGAGCTGGCGAGAGCTAGACCTTTATCACCCTCGATGGACACCTCGAGAATTACAGTCGGCTGAAGAACGCTACTTACGGGCATGCAAGGCATCGGCACATTTTTGTCAACCACCTCGCTGGCGTAAGCCATTTCTACCATTACAGAGTCTTTCGAAGATCGCTGTGTCGGCCAAGGTTCATGAGATATTGCGAGCTCTCTTTTTCCACGCTGCTTTCTCGCCGAACCTTTCGGAGTCTCGGGCACCTGAAAGCTTATTATTTACTGCCCTTCACCTTTTATCACTTGGGCTTGACGTCTGCAACACTTTTGCCAACAAAAGCTCAGCGGAAGCTTCATCAGTCTCGGGGCCTTCTATATCATCTGTCGATCATCCCCCGCTTCTAGCTCTCGCTCCCGAGTTTGTGCATGTTGGCGGGGCAGACGGCACGCAACTATTTGATCGGCAGAGCACTCTTTCGTTATTGGTGATACTTATGAGAAAATATATTGCAAGCGAAGGGGCGCAACTTATTATCTCTGAAACAAGCCAGTCCAACGTCGGCTGCTTCATCAAGAAACTGCTACACAACTTTGCCGAGCTAGACCGTCAGTGTATGTACGCGATCGAGTCACTTGCGCCGGAGATATTACATCGTGTATCCACCGACTCGTCCTCCAAGGCGGAGGGAACGTCGCAGGACGAACTGCAAGCAGAGCTTTCCGACATAGAGAAGAAACGAGCTCACGCTCGGGAGCGTCAAGCTGCGATGATGGTTTGTCTTTTATTTCTGCTAATATGGAAGTTTTCTTACTGCGCACTTGTGTAGGCGAAAATGAGAGCGGCTCAAGAGAAGTTCATGGCGAGTGTAGAAAGCTCGAAAAGTTCAAACAAGCTTGACACCAGTAAGACTGAGGGTAAACGTCCTCGAGAAACATTAGCTGACGATGACATGAATGAGACAGGCACACCTTTGTGTGCTTTGTGTCGCGACAGAAGTTCTACCAGCCCGTTGTGTATGCTGACTTTAGTCCAGGTAATCTCAACGTAACCTGGCAATCCGGTTCCTGACTCGTGCTTTGAAATTTCGCAGAAGTCCAGGTTGCTTGCACTTTCGCAAAAGCCAGTTCCTTCTTGGGACAAACCTTCAAGAGTTGTGGACGATACTCCAACTGCAGAAGATGACAATAGCGCTTCCCAAACCTTGGTACGAAGGGAGGCGGAAAACTTGATTTTGGAACTTAGGCAGTGGCTCGAGGGAGCTGCGGCAGATCCGAACGTGGACAGGCTGACCAACCGCGACGATTTTGTTGAACTTCTTCGGGGAGGATTACCGAGTATACTCAACACAGAGCGGTTTCCGGCTACTACTAGTGGAATTGAGGTGGATACAGATGCAAGCCTCGATGACACCTATGGCGAGTCAAGCCATCCTGTCGATCCGAAATGGTGGTGGGAACTTGCGGAAATGGTGTCTAACAAAGAATCGACAGACAACAATGAGACTCTGATCACAGTTCTGGCTGAGTATGTGGCAGCGGTCTCTCGTTCACAATCTGAACTCCAGCCTCAACCGGAAGACCCTCCACGCGGGAACCGTCGCCGCTATGGTATAGAGAGCAAAGTCTACAGGGATGTCGGGCTTGATTTTATCGGACTGCACCTTTCTGCCTGTGGCCACGCTGCTCATTACGAATGTGTTGAGCGCTATTACGCTTCCCTACTACAAAGGTACGTTTTTCTCTCTCTCTCTCTTTAGTTCTTCTACCTAAATTTTGGTGGTGCTACAGGTATTACAGTAGATCCTTGTTCGAAGGAGTACAGATTGTGGATCCAGACCTGGTGCGTTATTTAGTAAGTTTTTGTAGCAACTATCTACATCTTAACTGTGATTTTGCAGGGAGAGTTCCTATGTCCGGTCTGTCGTCGGCTGTCAAACTCCATTCTTCCAGTTTTAGATCCCTCTGCACGAACTCCCTTTGTTGCTGACGCTGTCGAGGGGTTTAGACTGGAGCAAGCGTGTTCGTTAATGGTTAGCGCGCAAGAGCTGGTTGCCAGGCCCGGGTTTCGGAACTCAGTCTCGAGGAAACTCGCAGATCCGCTGAGGATGGTACTGGAGTCCGTGTCAAAGCGGCTTTCTGCACTATACTGCCTGGAGAAGGAGAAACTTTACACTTCCGAAGGAAGAAACTGCCAAGGCTTGTTTCTCTGGGACTTGCTCCGGTACAGCATTATGTCCGCGGAGTTGGCAGCACGTACAAGGAGTCTCATCCTCGGTAATCATGATGCAGCCAGCAGATTAGTTGCTTTGGAGGAAGCGTCAGAGGCGTCACGCGGGTCTACTCTACCTTTGCTCTCTCTGGCAGCCAACTTAACTCTGACACACAGCCGGCAAATTGTTCTACTCAGGTCACGGGGTATGCAGCTGATGGTGGGATCAGTTTGTCATGGCACGTCTCTGGATTTCTTGTCCGAACCGATGTCTAAAGGTAAGATCACAGGCTTTTGGTTCGCATGTATTGACAGCTTACGTGCATGCAGGTCATTTGAGCTCTTTGTTACACTTTTTGGAAAAGGGCCGTGATTCGGCCGATATACAGTTTTGGAAGCGTGTGGCTGATCCTGTGCTTGCACACGATCCCTTCTCTTCCTTGATGTGGCTGCTTTACGTACTTCCATTGCCAATACCGGCACGGGAAGGACCGCTCACCGCACTCGTTCATTTGTTTTATTTAGTCTGCTTGGTTCAAGTAAGTGCAAGTATTTTTCTAGTTTTACGACACTAACACAGGCATCTCTTTCAGTGCTTGGCATCAATGGGAAGATATGTGGTGGATGATAGCGTTCCTGCGCATTTGCAAAACTTTCTAGCAGTCATCCATGCAACACTGGCAGACACCTGCATCGCACTTCAATCTCCGGAAGGACCTGTGACTGCGCCACTACAGTTCGAACAGATTCGGCTCTTTACGTTGCCTTACCTCAGACGCTGCGCGTTGCTACAGACTGTGATTTCTGGTACTTCTCAGCCAGTGCCCGTTGCAGGGTCGAACAGCTGGGAGCTTTCAAATGTTTACAACCACCTCTCAAGCTCTGCTTATCGAGAGGCTGCCGAGAGCTGTAGAGACACAGAAGCTGTGGAGATGAAGGAGGTTGAGGAGCTGGAGAGACGATTTTCCATCCCTCCGATGCAAGCCATATTGTCAGAAGAGGCGGTGCAGAATCTCGTCGTCAAGTGGTGCCAACACCTTCAGAGTGAAACAGGCTCACGCAGCTTCTCCATCGTTCCAAGACCAGTGCGAGCGGTAGCTCTCCAGCTGATGGTTCTCCCCCGACTTTTCCAAGACCTGATTCAAAGGTGTTTTTTTTCATTCATTCTTCCGTGACCATCAACCTTACGTTCTCAATTTTCTGTGTAGATATGTGAAGGAATGCTGCCCCCGCTGCAAAACAGTACCCGAAAGGCCGGTGCTGTGCTTGCTGTGTGGAAGACTATGTTGCGGGTCTGGCACAAACGGTTGTTGCAGGTTTGTCTAGCTCTGATTCTTTCTCTCGCGTTCGTCTGATTGGAATTGCTTTCTTATTTGCAGCGTACAAATGCAAAGCGAATGCTATCGTCACGCTATTTCTTGCGGGGGTGGCGTCGGCGTCTATCTCATGCTTCGAGTAAATATAGTTCTCCTCTTCGAGCGTGGCTTTGTCTAAGCTCTTGTTCTTTCCAGAAAACAAACGTTCTACTTCTCCGCCGCGAGCGGCAGACAATGTGGCCGTCACCATATCTAGATGCTTATGGCGAGGAGGTAAGCGTTTCCTCCACAGCTGCAAAACTTTTTCTCGACAGCACCTGCGCCTACTTATATTTCCATTTCTAAAATTCAGGATCAAGACATGCGGAGGGGGAAGCCACTGTTTCTAAGTGACGAGCGTTACGCGGCCTTGACTGCGATGGTAAGCCTTTTTTGGTTTTCTGTCGCTGGGCAAACTTGATTGATTTCCATCCCAGGTTGCGTCGCACAGCCTCGACTACAGTTCATCGGTGCTGGCTCAAACAATCCGCGAGCCACTGTTTTGATCGCTGGGGAGTGTGCCTAGGAGGAGCAAAATAAACTCCAAAGAGCAAGCACTTTGAGTGCCTGTTTTATTTGGCTTAAGCCCAATGTATTTATTTGTAAAATCTTAAACCCTCTCTTTTTTCCTCGAGTGTTAAGGACATTCAATCTGAGCCGTTGACATGCCACCTCAGCGACATCTCGCCATGTCAGCATAGCTTTTGTATCCTAGAGTTTTATATCGTTCGTATGCTCGCAGGCTGCGAGGATTAGAGATGGAGACATGGTCGCAGCTGCTGGTTATGAAATAAGAGATGGTAAGTCTGTGTGACCAATTCTAAGTTTGTCCACTTTTTCCTGCTCGTAACAGGCTCTCGGACAGAGGATGACAGCATTCCGGTTTCGCGATTGTGGAGCGAAGCTTGAAAAATGCCGGATGCTGGATTCATGGCTTTCCATTCCAGTGTCTGGATCATCCGCCTTCCAGCCGTTTTCGTGTCAAAGTCTGCGGGCTGGGAGGATGTAGCAGTGGCTTCCAATCTGTTTGGAATACTCGAGCAGTGTCTCGCCATTGAAAACACGGCCCGGTCAGTCATGGCCGTGTCGTTCATCTCATCACCGCAGTTCTCACCACTTTCCTGTTTATCCGGAGATACAGACGTCCCATTTGCGCAGCGACTCCATCACCGCCGATTCCCGGGGCTCGTTCTTCTTGCTGCCGCTACGCCGCTTCTTCTTGCGCGCCCCCGCCCGGAGCCGCTGTTTCTCCTCCTCGTCCACGTAGAATCGGAGCCACCGCATCGTGCCGCGTTCTCTGCAGGGTAGCTCCTCTCTCTCGCAATTGGAACCTGGAGTTTTTGGTCAAGCTATTGCAGACTGGTTGTCACACAATAGCTTGACCACACCTGTGTTGATTTGTAGATCCTGGAGGAAGTCCCTTCAGCCACGCTGCTTCCTTGGTTGCAGCTGCTGCAATGTACTCAGCCTCGGTACTTGAAATCACTGTAATAGCCTGTCGTTTGCTGCACTAGCTTGCGACATTTCCATTTAGCAGGAAAACGTAGCCTGTGGTTGACTTCGTGTTGTCTGGATCAGCATCAGAGTAACCAACCAGCTTGTTGCCTCTGGAGTACTTCAAAGTTGTACCTCATAATACGTTTCAAAGCCTGCAAGTGTGCTGCGGAGGGACGGTCCAAGTACTTCGCCACTGTGCCCACAGCATACGCAAGGTCAGGCCGAGTGGAGATTACCAGGTAGATCAGGCTGCTGGAGCGACTAGATTGCTAGGGAGATTGATCAAGGTATCAGCAGATAGTAACAGGATTAACATGAGCAAGGCCATACCTCTGGAGCACGTCGGAAACATAGTTTGCCTGGCTTAGCTCCAGAGTGCCTCGCTCCCTGTTTTGCGTCACCTGGATATGCAACTTTCATGGCAAATTTAGCTCCAAGGTACGTTTTAAATTTGTGGATCAAACGTAGTTGAAGAATAGCATCGTCCACATATAGCGCACAAAATAAGCAGCGCTGCGAAGGGAAATTAGGAAAGAATCTATTTTCGTGTACCATTGAGTCCGTAGAGAGCTTTGTTAAGCTTGCAAAGGGATAAAACAAGCCACATACACCTCTTCATCGATGTTGCCTGAGGAACGCAGTACAAACGTGAAGTTGATGGAGCTCGAGATCCAATTCTGCAGCTAAGATTAGTAGCATATGAATGGTTGTGAGCTTCACCACGAGGCTGTAAGTTTCCCGAGTAGTCCAGCCCATGAACTTGAGAAAATCTGCGTGCCACAAATCTAGCCTTGTAGCACTCCATCAGCGTTGTACTTTTTCTTAAACGATGAGACGAGCTTTTTGCGAGCTGGAAGTTCAACCAGAGACCAAGTGTTGTTTTTCTGGAGAGAATCATACTCCTCCTGCATGGCTTCCTGCCCGTGCTCAGCTTCTGGTCCGTGCAGAGCCGAGAGAGGCAGGTGGAGCCGTCATAGCCCAGAAGCAGGCACGCTTGCCTGTAGCCATCGCCTCCTTGGCCTTGAGAGATGGTTTCACGACACGACCCGAGCGTGTCACCACTGCTGTGCCGGCTGGAGGAGAGGAATGCTGCATCTTGAGATAACTCTGTCGCCAACGAACAGGTCAGCCACAAGATCTGGCTGTTCAAGGTCGCTGGTGCTTGAGGATGCAGCCGCTGTGGCCTGTGGAGTCGTCAGAAGAGGAAGGAACAGAAGTACCGTGATCAGCTCTTCCTGCCAGATCGCCTCCTTCAGTAACTCCTCCTGGCTCTGCATCGGCTGGATTGTCTGGTGCTGGGAGGAGAACTGGAACGCCATCCAAACTCTCAGAAAGATCCACCAGAGGTGGTGGAGAAACGGGAGGGAGCCTCAGGGTATCTCGATAAAGATGAGCTTCATCAAACACCACATCTCGGCCTCACCAACAGAGTCGATAGGCTTTTACCTGGGTGTGATAGCCCACGAAGACGCATTTCTCACTCTTGGGATCCAGCTTCCGGCGCTGCGTAGGCAACGCAGCCAAATACAGATGCCCTAATTTGGACATGGTGAGTCTCAACCGACATCTCGACACTCCCACTCTGGCTCGATCATCATCAGCTGAGAGGATGGACTACCCCTCCCACTCAGCCGAAACAGATGGAGAGCAAACTCCCAGTGCAGCGCAATGGCGTTCACGAGCCAAAGCGGTTACTCTCCCTCTGTCGAGGACAGAGCCACGTGCAGCGATGATCGAGGCTGGTGATCAGTGTGGTTTAAAGAGTGTGTATAATATCTGATAAAAAATGTCGTTGATTTTCTTGGTTCTGCATCAAACCTGTAAACTCCATGACAATTTATACGTGATAAATCCTTGAAGAGCAAGAGCTTTACGCTTCTCATGTTGGACAGGGGCAGTCACTTAGAATTCGTCCACCCTCTACTGACTGAATGGAGCTTTTGCACTGCCTGATTTCGTTTCCCGTTGCACGGAGCCTAATTCTTCGCTTTGGCTTGAGCCGGGCATCGTTGAGTAGATTACCCGTTGCATGCGTTCCACATTTCTCCCGAAGGCTGGCGGACCCTGATCAACTTGGGCCTGCTGATGCTCAAAGCTTGTGCTCGAATCCTTGGCACTGGCTGGTTGCACCCGTTCTTAGTGGGACCAAGCATGGAAATAAAAGATTGTGCCACTGTTGATGCTAAACCCCGACGTATCAGCGTTTCTGACAATCACAAATAAGGTGATTGTCGTTGCATTCTCCTTAGGTAATGATTTGCAAAGCGTTTCTGACAATCACAAGTTGGGTGATTGTCATTGCATTCTTGGCACAGGGACATCAGAGCCCTCGTGAGAAAGAAATTCGATTACACTCACACTTATAGTTGGTGCTTTGGCGAATAAAAACATGCATGGCTTGGGTGCAGATCACTCAGGCCTATTTTCGTGAGAAGGGGAGCTGAAAGCCCAGATTCGAAGGTGAAGTGCGTTACCACTATATTCGTGAGCAGATCACAGCAGGAACTTTGGCTCTACAATATGTGGCCACAACTGAGCAGATTGCTGATATCTTCACCAAGCCGCTGCCGCCGACTTCTTTCTTCAAGCATGGAGTTCATGTTCCAGGGTGATGGGGGGGCGCTGTTCATGCTGGCAATCAAGACCCAACCGGTGAACCTCGAGGGCGAGTGTTAACATGCTAATTAGCGACAGGCTCTGGAAGTGTATTTACCACCTCCATCAGATCTCAGCACCTTGATAGTGTCATCACGCTGCTTCTCAACCCCAAGCTTGTACACTGGAAGACTGGAAGTACCTCTTTTTGTGGCGTGTCTGGCCCTGAAACGGTCCACAAATATCAGAGCGCCCAAGTGCCAAAGGTTGAGCGCATGCAAGCTAGATTTTAAAAAAGAATACTACTGTCCAAAAATCTTGCCTCCTGGATCATCCCATGGCTGCCTCTCAAGATCTCCCTCTTAAGAAACACCTGTCCATACAAAGCAAAGATACCTCTGATCTCTCATTGTCCTAGGCTGAAGCTCCCTCAAGCTCCACAACTGTCGTTCATCTATAGAGTATATAGGACTGTAACTTCTCTCTTGATTCCTGCTTTCTCGCAGAACAGCACAAAGGCTCTGGAAGAATGTCGCTGCTGCTTCCGCATAAGACATGGCTCACACGGTGGCATCTTGGTGGATTTTATGTGCAAACCATCCACCACTTGAGCTCGTGACATCTCTCGCAAATGGTTTGTTGATTGATCTCCAGTGCCAAGTCAAGAGATCTGCTGCTCCCCCTGAAGAGGCAGGTGTCTCAGCTACATGGACTGTCGCCTTTCGTTGTTGTTTTACAGGGCAGTCTCGACTTAAGTGTCCCTTCTTGTGACAAGTGCCACAACGCAAGTTGAATTCGCGCCACTCACCACGCTCAGCTTTCTCGCCTGTGCACCACCATTCTCTCAAGGTCACGATCGCTTCTTGGAACCCAGGCAATCAAAGACTGAACGGCATGACCTTGATCCTTGAGTCACCATCACAACGCTGGTAACCTGGCCATCACGACCAACCAGCAATTTCTCGTACTGGACCAGCTCTGCCATTGAGTGTGGGTGGATCTTACAGTGATGTCGGCGTGGCCTGAGAGAGAGATTTAAAGGGAAAAAAATCTGCCCGAAATGGACAAAACTGGGCCGTTGGATGAGATCTCGCGAGCTGCTGCAGAGGACATGTCCTTGAACAAGAAGGCGAATCTCTAGGGCTTTCGGGTGATGAATTTCTAAATTGATTCTTTGCACGAGGCCCTAAAATTCACCTGACGTTGACGTGCATCACCGGCGGTTCACATGATCGCCGCTGATTTCGTGACGTGAACGTGAACATTGTGGTCTTGCCAGGTCTACGGTCTTTGTCATGGTCAGGCTTTCAGAAACTATGGGCCACAATCCCCACTGCATCAGCCAGAACTGAGCACGTTCTTGCCAGGCCAGGAAATTGTAACACCTCCATCTCTCGGGAGGGAGCTTCCATTTCAACTCTAACCACAAAGATTGTTACCCTCAATCTGAAATCTTATAGCATGTGGGCAAAAGCCTGGCCTGCAGCACTCTCCTAATTATCTCCTCACCAAAAAGACTTCGCATGTGGATCTGCAAACACTCTTACCTACAGCGTGTTTCTAAAAAAGTGATGACAGTCATGAGAGCACCGAGTGTTTGGTCAACAAAACGAGTGTTTAGTACGCCACCGCTGCAGGAAATAGCGTGACGGTGTCACTCGGAGGCAAAAGATTCAAAGGAAGAAAAAGGCAGTGAGAACTAGACAAAACAATTGTTGTGCCAGTCGCAAGCAACTGGCCTTCCGGGTATTGTTTGCAGCACTCCTTGACATATTTACAAGAAGAAATGGAAAAGTCACATGGTCAAGGATGTTGACTAACAAAGCACCGCATACTGGATCATAAGATACTTGATCATAAGATACTTGATCAAAACCAGGGAAGGCGAGCAAGTAGGCCAACGAGTCCAGTCCCCGAAAGGGGACGCTCTCATTCCCTAGGGCGCCAACAATCTCTACACAACAGGAGTTTGCAATCCCCCGGATCCCAAGGCAAGAAGGCGCTCTTGGTCCTACAGGAATAGAAGATTAAAAGTCTTCGCCTGAGAGAAGAAGGCACATGCCTTAACCATTTGGCCAAAGGGACATTGCAATTCTTTATTTTGAGTTTTGCTTTCATACAAGCTTGTAAGTCCCAGCTTTGTGGTGGCACCACAGGCAAAAAGAAACCTCCGGCTTGTCATTAATTCAGAAATAGATAAGCAAATATGGTTCACCAGCGAAAACATGAAAAATTTTATGCTCACTTCAAGAATCATATGCTGCTCTTTTTATTCTTCTTAGGACAGGAAATCTCGGTTCTACACCTGGGAGTTGAACAAGCAGTCCCACAGTTTGATCACATGCAACTGCCAAAAGATCTTGGCGCCGTAAGGCTCGAGAGAATGCGTTCTCAGTGTTGCAAATCCTTGAACAAATCTAAATTCTCCACTTCCTCCCACGATTGAAATCTCCCTCTGCGGATCCGGAGCGCGGTTCTGGCCCAGTAGATTGATGTTTCCATCTCGCCCCTCGAGCTCCAGGGTGATGCTTGCCAGGAGGCTGATGTTGCTGATAGAATCGAATGCTAATATTCCTTTGGCTCTTCCCACGAGCTTGGAGTCGATCGAGGGGCCTTCTGTCAGCTTGTCATCGATGATGGCCACCATTCCAAACATGGTGGCGTTGTTCGTGCCTGGAAGAACAATTGCCGTGGTGACATTCACCCCGGGCGTTGGGAAGAAGAGATCTTGGAGGTAGAAGCTAATAACTTCAGTGCACTTTGTAAAGTGACTGCTAGAATCCGTTGCCGCGCAAGAACTTGCTGCAAAGAAAAATACCACTACAAGGATCTGGATGAGTTTAGCCATACTCGTGCTTGTAGGTCTTCCCGGATAATTGAGGAGGTAAATATTATTTCTTTTATAGAAGAAGAGATGTGGTAGCTTCCAGGTTGATCTTCCAGAAGCAAAGAAACATTCTAGTCCAGAAAAAAAAGTATATCACGGTTTGATTTGACTTTGCCTTTAGCTTTATTTGGCTTGTTTTACCAAACTGGAGCACGTAACGCTCCGTCTTGATCTTACCAGTCCTCGCGGCCAAGAAGTACAACGTTTCTGAACAAAACAAGTGTTTCATCAACCACGCTCTCAACTGTGAGAACGCCGACACGGCTTTGCAATGTACTCTGAAAAAGACTCAGAGGACACCATAGAAATAGACAAACAAAGTCTTCCACATGGCAACCATAGCACCGGCCTATCGGGTATTGTATTACAGATCGGGCTGTGCCTATCTACATTGAAAAGGAAACGTAAGATGGTCTCGGTTGGGGTGAGCTCGCAAAAGCTCATGATCCCGGGGATTGCAAACTCCGCGTAGAGATTGTTGGCGCCCTAGGGAATGAGAGCGTCCCCTTTTGGGGACTGGGCGTGTTGGCCTACTTGCTCACCTTTCCTGGTTTTGATCAAAATCTAAAAGAATAACATCCAGTATGCGGTGCTTTGTTGGCTTATGTGCTGGATGTCATGTAGTCTTTCTTGCGTTTCGCCCCTCTCACTTGGTTAATGTAAGCAGCAAGACTTTGCCGTTTGGTTTGTTCGGATGCTTCTGGGGCGAATTTCACACTTCGGAATTTTTCGAAACAAGAGCCTTGCCTGATGTCAGATGAAGTTTCTCCTATAAGAGCAGTCGTCTTAATCGAACAAACACCACACGAATGGATCTAGCACTTGCTGTCAGCTTTGCAATTTCCATCGCTCTCTGGGGCTTGTGGCTCTTGAAAGCTCGTTCAAATCTTCCACCAAGTCCATGGGGATTGCCCCTGATTGGCCACTTACACTTGCTAGCGGGAATGCCCCCGCACAAAGCATTGCAACGCATGGCCAACAAGTATGGTCCTATTATTTCCTTGAGGTTGGGAATGATCCCAACTGTGGTGATCTCCAGCCCGGAGCTTGCCAAGGAGGTGTTCACCACACATGATCTAAATTTTGCTTCCAGGCCGTACATGGTTTTCGGCGAGTATTTCAGTTATAGCTCTGTTGGACTTGTAAGTAGTCCCCATGGAAAGCTATGGCGAAACACCCGCAAGCTGTGTACAACGGAGCTCTTCACGGCCCAGCGTATCGACTCTTTCTCTTGGGTCAGAAGGGAGGAGCTCTCGCGTGCCTTGGAGGGGATTTTGAAGGCTCATGGCAATGACAAGCCTGTGGAGGTGAGAAAAGTGGCCAGTGTTTTTGCCTTCAACATCACATCACGAATTGTGATGAGCAAGAGGTACTTTGGTGACGAAAACGTGGATGCCGATGCCATGGAATTCAAGGAGCTCAATGACAATGTTCTTGAGCTGACCATCAATCCCTGTCTTAGCAACTTGGTGCCCTGGTACCTGAGATGGCTGGACTGGCAGATCCCTCGGTACAAGCGAATCCATGCCAAGCAAGACAAGTTCTTGCAAAAGATCGTTGACGAGCACAAGGAGACAACACGAAAATGCAAGGACTTCCTTGATATCATGCTTGACTTCTTTGGAGCAGGGACACAAGGGGAGACTTATGTGAAGGCAAACCTCATGGTAACCCGGGCAAAACTTTTCCATATTGCTGCTAACAGGTATTTCTATGACAAATGCAGGAGATGTTAATTGGTGGAACTGATACCACCAGCACTGCAAGTGAGTGGCTCATGGCTGTATTGATGCACGATCCTCGAGTCATGGCCAAGCTCCGCGAGGAGCTCGACAGGGTTGTGCGCAACACTCGGATGGTGCAAGAGTCGGACCTCCCAAAGCTCGAATATCTCCAGCTCGTGCTCAAGGAGACATTGAGACGCTATCCTCCGGGTGCCATAATTATGCCGCACATCTCAAGCCAAGCATCCAACGTTGGCGGCTTTCACGTTCCAAAAGGGACCACTCTCCTGGTGAATTCATGGGCGATTGGAATGGATCCGGCAGTATGGGAGAATCCCACACAATTCCACCCGGAGCGCTTCTTGGGGAGCTCCATCGACGTCAAAGGCCAAAACTTTGAGCTCCTCCCGTTTGGATCCGGCCGTAGAAAGTGTCCAGGAATGGCCATGGGATTGCGAGCAGTGGAGCTTCTCGTGGCGAATCTTATCCATGGCTTCGATTGGAGCTTTGTGCCCGGGACAACGCCGTCCATGGAAGATGTTTTTCGCAGTGCTATTCAGCTCAAGACCCCATTGCAAGCCATGGCAAGTCCAAGGTTCCCAAAGGATGTCTACATCAATCAGACATCACATCTTTAGTCACCATGGACTTCGCTACAAATAATTCTACTCAATGCTGGCTAGACTTGCGTCTCTCCCACTCCACAATGTGATATATAGATCGGAGAAATCTTGGTTGTCCCAGCAATATATACATTGTCAGATCCAAATTCCAAGGAGAGTGGAGAACTGCCATTTGAAGGTCTAGTGTAGCCTCGGTCCTGACAAGACGATCTTTCCAACCACGCAAAAGTTTTGATCGTGCATTTCTAGTCACCTTTTATCCCCTTAGCCCAGCTGCCAAACATTCTATTCATTAACCCAAATAGCGTTCATCAGCCGACTGTAATTCGAGCTTGATCACGTGTTGAAGACCAGGCCATCGAATGCGCACTGGTCAAACATAATCACAATTTACGGTCAAGGAGGTCAAAATTTGGTCGTCCTTGAAAAAAAGATAACGGTAAAGAGACAAATATTGGAAAATCTACCTCCGAGTGAGAACATTCTATGACTTGAGAGACGTTCTCAGGTGTCCAGTTTGCCTTGAGCTCGTCCCAGGCACGTCTTGCAGTGGCTCCAGGCCTGCTGATTGTCTCCAGGTCCCTGCTCTCTGCCACAGCCTTGTGGAGCAGCATCCAGCTTCCATTTTGGAGCTTCCAGCAGAGTAAGATGGCGTGGCGTGCTTGAGATGAGTGAGTGGAATTGAGTATTTGAAATTGATGCTCATACTAACAATTATTTCTATTTAACACTTCTACTAAACTCATTCCAAGATTAATCTAATTCTTTTCTCAAATGTAAACAAATTGCTACACTTAGCAAACAATTTGTTTTCCTTGGGATTTTATAGTTTATAAAATTTAGAAGTATTATAATTTTAAAGAAGGTTCATTTATATCCTACTCTAGTGCTTAATACTTTTTTAAGGGCTAGAAAAAAATGAAATAAGAAAACAATCATTGAACATTTTATGAACCCTTAATTGCCACTGATGTCATTTATATTATTGGATTAATTGTTGTACCATTAAGCTGAGGCTAGAAACAAAGCTGGCATCATAGATGACCTTCAAGAAGTCAATCCTGCATAAAAATGTTTTTGTTTTAAGCAGAAATTCAATCATATCACCTCCACAGAGCCATTAAGCTCTATAAACTCTAAATAAAGCCAAAGCTTACAATGTACAAGAAGTCTGAGAAAGCAAGAGGAATCACTACCAATTACATCTTCTAGATAGTGAGCAAGTGGAAAAAGTATGAGTTAGTTAAAAGACACTTGATCTACACTTGTGTAAATTTTATCTTATATTTCTCTTCTAAAATCAATTAAAAACTTGTTATGCAATTGTAGCAATAACATGGTTTTCTTATTTATAGTTTTACTAAAAGAGTCAATATTTTTTTGGAAAATTAATATTTTTCCTTGCTTACCATTGATGAAATTCTATCAAATCAAAGATATAGAGAACTAAATGAATAAAATCATATCAAGGATAAACAAGTTTTTCCTTGTGAAACTTACAATACTAAATTTAGAAATTTGGAATTGTGGATGTTTAAGTTTAGATATAAATTTTGTAATAGATTTGCCTTTAAATTACTTATTAGATACATATTTATATTAAAAAAAACTTTCTTTTCTTAAAATTTATTAGAAATATAGTTATATTTACCAAAGTTACAACTTCAATAGTACAATAAAAAGAAATAAATGTTGAAATTTCCATAAATAGTAGTACTGGTAGAAGACTTTAAAATATGTGATTAATGATTTGGATTAGCATGTGATAAATATTGATTTTTTGTTGCAACTAAAATGATGTAAATTGCAACATAATTTCAGCCATATGTATTTATTTCTATGCAATTTCTACATTGTTGTTTTACATTACAAAATTTTATAATGTAATTTGCATTAAAAAGTTTTGCGTATGATTCCTTATAATTTCATGCCCTCATGAACTAAAGCTGAAAGACACATCTCTCTCAAGAGCCCTACTCTCTTGACACCCAAATGTGCTTATATCATAATGATTACTACAAAATTTGCATTGACAAATTATGTTACAAACAATCATTTATGTTTAGTGAGAACATGCTCAAAAGCTTTCAGTGAAGAATGTCACTGCTGCATCCTTATAAGACATGGCTCGCACAGTGGCATCTTGGTGGAAACCATTCCCCACTAGAGCTCATGACATCTCGCAAATGGTTTGTTGACTGACATGCCCAATCTCCAGTGCCAAGTCAAGAGATCTGCTGCCCCACCTGAAGAGGCAATCTACATGGACTGTCGCCATCACCTGGTTCAGGATTTGCACGGAGCAAAGCAACTTGAAAAGCCTGCCAACCTTCATCGCTCAAGCCACTGGTCCCTATCGTCAACAACTGATGTGCAGAAAAAGCACTTGCGAGGAAATGAGAGTGTGTCCAGCACAAGAAACGTACCACACACCACGTGGAAGTTGAATCTGGATTGATCCAATACCAAGAATCGGCAACGGGCGATTAACCGTGAGGAACACTAATGGCTGGGTGTCACGAAGAGCTCCCTCACTGACGTGGTGTGGCTTTTTGCCGCGCAATCCAACACCAGTGGCTCCATCAGAGTCTTGATTGTCGTCACGCCTTGAAACTGGAGGTTCCTTCACGTGCTCAAGCTTCCTTTCGTTGTCGTTTTACAGGGCAGTCTAGACTTAAGTGTCCCATCTTGTGACACAGCGCAAGGCCCATAACCTGGTTCACATTCTTCCAATTGATCGCTGCTGATTTCATGACGTCAACTTGAACACTGTACAACGGTGCAAGACCTCCATTTGCGTGAGCGTCTAGGTCTTGCGAGGTTTGGTAGACATTTCCTACTTCCAGAAACAATCCCCACCACATCAACCAGAACTAAGCACGTTCTCACCACGCCAGGAAATTGTCCCCATCAAACACCTCCATCTCTGGGAAGGAGGATGACGCCATTTCAATCAACTTGTGTTCTTACTTAACTGCAAAGATCATTACCCTAAATCTGATACAACAGCCACGCAAAATCCCGGCCACAATAGATAGAAATGAGGATATAGCAATGCTCTCTCCTCATCACTTTTTTAGCAACACGCTGGAGTTAGAGTGTTTGGAGATCCACATGCCAAGTCTTTTTGGTGAGGAGATAAATAGGAGGGTGCTGCTGTATCCTCTGTAGGCCAGGCTTTTGCCCACATGCTATAAGAATCTTTGCGGTTAGAGTTGAAATGGAGGCTCCCTCTCGAGAGATGGAGGTGTTACAATTTCCTGGCCTGGCAAGAGCGTGCTCAGTTCTGGCTGATGCAGTGGGGATTGTGGCCCATAGTTTCTGAATGCCTGACCGTAGACCTGGCAAGACCTAGACGGTCGCGCAAATGGAGCCCGTTAGTGTTAAGAAAGGCTCGGAATATGTACAGTTAAAAAAGGCCAATCAAAATAAATATTCTTTCAGAATACTCTTTTTTTATAGTATAGACTAGAATGTTTTTTATTGCATTATTGATTGGAATAAAATAAGCCTCTTGCTACTTCGAAGAGTTTCATACTCTTTTACCTCTTTTTGCCTTCAAGGGTAACTGATCAGCCTTTTGGACAAGGAGATTATTAATGCTCTTTTCCTCAAAAAGCTTGAACCATTTGTAGTGCTTACTTAGTAATGCTTGCTATTTGAGCACAATCCAATCAAGATAAGTGAAGAACTCTTAAGTAATTCTTATTTTAAATTTGTTTTCTCTTGCATTTATACTTTACTTTCTTTCATTTTAAGATTTTAACCTTTAAAAAAAAATTTACCCTTCTCAAGAATGGGTAATTTTTTTAATTTTAGGGAGAGCTAAAAATCATCTTTCATTTGAAATTTAAACCCCACCCTTCAAATTTATACTCTATAAATGAATGAAATCTTCTACTAGTAGCATGACTTTACCATGGTGCATAGGGATAAATATAGTAAAAGTATATAAATCCAAAAAGTTAAAATATAGCACACTTTTCTATAATTACCAATTCTTAATAGTGCCCAATAGTAGATATAATGGCATGTTTGGCTTTAGAGTGTAGATCATCATAAAAGTGTCTTTTAATTAACTCATGCTTTTTCCATTGGCTCACTATTTAGAAGATGTAATTGGTAGTGATTTCCTCTTGCTTTCTCAGACTTATTGTACATTGTAAGCTTTAGTTTTATTTAGAGTTTATAGAGCTTAATGGCTCTATGGAGGTGATATGATTGAATTTCTACTTAAAACAAAAACATTTTTATGCATGATTGACTTCTCAATTTCCCATTGCTGCTGCTTGAAGGTCATCTATGATGCCAGCTTTGTTTCTAGCCTCAGCTTAATGGTACAACAATTAATCCAATAATATAAATGAGATCAGTGGCAATTAAGGGTTCATAAAATGGAAAACAAATAAACCACTATGCCATCTAAATTTGTAATCCTAGAATTACTTTCTGATAAGCATTACTTCTAACCCACTATAAATGTATGGACTTGTATTGCTTTTTGGCATCTTCTAAAGTGTTTGTAGCTTTTAAACTTTAGAACAATTACTTATACTTATCATGGTATTTAATTTGAATACATTTCTTCAGCTGTTCATATAAACTCTATTCCCAATGGAAAATGCAATTCCTCTTTTAGTTGATTAAAACCTTATCTAGACCACTATTGTAGACAGTTTTAATAGCTCGCCAATTTATTTGCACTTCATCACTCATAAAACTATAAAACATTGGTGATGTTGAAGATTATATTCCAACTTGGTATGTTTTATTCAATAGTGTTCAAAAAAAAACTTGAGCTTTTATGTCTTCTCAACTATCACCATCTTGGATTGTGCTCTATATAAAAGAATATTATTATTATAATAATTGAATAAATGCACATTTACCTTGGATCATACACAATGGTAATTATTGTAAACTATCGGGAATTCTATGTATATAATCGAAGCACACTTAAGAGTATTGCAAATTCATACTTGGTTGCATCCACTTATGAGATCAACTTCACTTCCAATACCATCCAACAAAATCTTGAAAACATGACATTGTTCTTTAGCTTCAATTTAGATTAATCTTAGAAAAGCAATGCTTTGGAAGAAGTTGTAATTAAATTTAGTTTTTAGCTTTAAAATTGTATCTAGACTTGAGGACTTCTTTAAAAAAAGAGATTTCCTTCTAGAGTTTTTTATCACAATTTACATCCTGCAAAGATATT